AAAAATAAGACCTTTAAACCTCAACTCTGTATGTGTATGAGGAATGATATATAATGGAGATAACAATAGTAATAAAAGATTAGTGTTGTCACAAGATGTTACATGCAAAGCTCTTGGTAGTGTGTCAATGTATGTCTAGGGCTTAACAAATAATAATCATTAAGATGCACAATCCCAGTAAGTTGTGTATGCTAACTTTATGTTGTTTCTTCAACATTTAAATTATTTTATAGAATCCTGGGGTGCTTGTGAATATCTATAACACCAGTACTTGGGAAACTGAGACAGTAGAATCACGAATTGGAATCCAACCTTTGTGGCATAGTGATCTCTAGGCTGGCCTGTGCTCCATGGCCTGACACTATCTCAAAGACTTAAGAGAAACAGATTCATTTGGTAGAAGCAATCTCTATCCAAAGCAGAGTCATGATGGTGACTCTTATGTGGCCTGTGGATCCCATGGACAGTGTTTCCCTCTAACTGATGCTATTTTCAGATTCATGTTATAAGCAGCGTTCCCAAGAGCTTCCTAACATTCAATGCATTCTGCTCTGCTTTGGTGCCATATTTTTCTAGTTTTATGTGAAAAGAAGGAACATGGGGGCTATTTAAACTTTCCTTTGTATGCCTGTCTATAAGTTTAATGATCTTTCAACATTTCCTCATTTTAAAAGTTTATGCTTTTTAAAATTTTATGTTTATGCGTGTGTCAGTCTCTCTCTCTCTCTCTCTCTCTCTCTCTCTCTCTCTCTCGCTCTCTTTGTGTGTGTGTGTGGGTGGGTGTATGTGTGCTGCCAGTAGGGGGCATTAGAGTCCCTGGAGCTGGAGTTACAGATGGCGGCGGGACACTTGATATGGGTGATGGGACATGAACTTAGGTTCGCTGGAAGAACAGTGTGCACCCTCAACAGCTGAGACACCTTGCTGAGTACCAATACTCCCATTTTTACTAACAGAACACAGGAGTTTTATCAGGTAGTCTCAGTGTTGGTAAGCGTAGCCTTCCTTGGGAGACTCCTAACCCTCTTGGAGGGGATGGTATTTTGCATGATGCCCTCACGGACAGAAGTTTTTGTCCTGGAGCTGCTGATACAGATGGAAGTGTGTTGAATTCCTTGATGGCATCTGGGGTAGAAACACTGTAAAGACTGTTTAATTAGCAGCACACGTCAAATGAGATGCCCATTAATTTTTTTCATCCTAATTTTGGTTTCAGATACTTACTGACTTGCCCTAATTCCACTTGCCTTCCTGCCCTGGTCCCATTCCTTTTTCCTGTTTACCTAGTCTAATGGGGGCCTGACCAGCATGAAGTTGACCAGACAGGTTCCCAATTAGAACTTACTGGAGCAGGGGAAAGAACATAGGCAGTGCTCTGAAGAGTAAGAGCACGGCTTTATTAAGCTTTCTTATTTATTTGCTCAGGAGCCAATGCTCATAGATGAATCTGTTTTTAAGAGATCTCTAAATTTGTGCATGAGGTTGAGGGACAGATTCCATATCCACAGGAAACCACGAACGCCAATGATCCTGAGGCAATTAAGTTCCTTCACCCCCAGGCATCTTCTACCAATGGGTCTTGACCAGTGCTTAGATTAGTTTCCTTGGCACATAAATGTTTATCGCAATTCTGTCTTATTTAGTCATCCACTTGTCACTCATTTAATTTCAATTACAGTGGAAATATCCACAACCCCTTCATTCTGTATCTTGGTGACATCTCAGGGTGTCACACTTACAGTTCTAATGCTTATTCTGAAAAACTGCTTTTCATCTCCAGTTGTAACTTTGTTCTTTCATCCACATATCTGTTGTTCCCTCTGCCCTTCCACATAATCTGGGTCAAATGACTTGGTTGTGTCTCAGTCTTCCTGGGATCACCCCAATGCTCAGAAATTTTCTCTGTTCAATCAGCCATGTAAACTGCAGAGAAGGGAAAGGAGATGGACCATCTGGTAAAGTGTTTGCCTTGCATGCAGGAGGAGATGAACTCATGTGTAAAAGGTAGACACAGCAGCCAGCACTTGTAATCCCATTGCTGAGCATGTAGAGGCAGGCAAATTCCTAGGGTTTATGGGTCAGCCAGCCCAGCCTATGTGGTAGATTCCAGACCAATGAAGAGCCTTGTCTCAAATCATTATGAATGGAGGCTGAGAAGGGGTGCTTCAGATTGCCTTCCAGTCTCCACACGCATGTATGCACGTTCATGCATACACACAGCATAGAACAGTCTAATCCCACTGGGTTGATGAAGCCAGAGCCAACAGAATCAAGTTACTTAAGCAGCTTTGGTACTGGTAAACAAGGAACAGGTGACTGGGCAGAGTTGGCAAGCTTGTAATAACAAAATCAAGCACTGCCCAGAAGTAGGACAGAGGTCACAAATGCTTTCTGCATGTATGTGTGTACTGCAATACACACTGATTCATCCAAAAGATGGCGTGAGCTGAACAAAAGATAACTATTTATGGATATTTTCTATTAATCACATAGATGTCATGTAGTTGACATTTCATAAAAATGGCCTGATGAATAAATGGATGAATGAGTTTTTGGCTATGTGTCACAAGCTGCTTATCTGTATTTGTGTGTTTAGCCTGTTTGAGCAAAGCAGCACCACACAGTGTCCCAGAGGCAGAAGTTTAGTTTCTTTCTATGCACAGGCTAGTTGTCTTTGCTTTGTTCTCTGAAGACTGACTGTGCACAACCCTGCTGTCTTAAATATGTATACCGTTACCTGCACAGAGGGTGACATGGGAGGGTCTGAATATGGCAGGAAGTCTGTCATTATGATTCTAAAATCTAAATCAGAACAAAGCTATACCTTTTTAAAAGAAGGAATATAAAAATTGAACTATGGAAAGAGGAGTCTGGATGTGTTTTTAGCTTTCTAGTAGGAAAATTAATCACACAAATTCCTTTCATATTCCAATAAAAACAGCAGAGAGAACACAGGAGTTTATACTTGGAGCATGAGAAGTGACACAATAAAAAAAAACTGCCCACTAGGTAAATCCAATAAAACAACAGTTCTGACCAAGCTTACATAGTAATGGTGATGAAACAACCTACTGCTATTTGGAGACTAGCTTTACCAATAGCTACAGTTTTTTGCCAAACAGGGCTTGTTAATTTCTGCCAAGTACCAATGTATCAATCAGCTGCCCCTGAAAATGCCCCCCCATGTTGATATTTCTCTTTGTTAATAAAACCTCTAAGCTATCTTTGTTCTTTTAACAGACCAAAAACTTTGCTGGTCGGTGTGCTTTTCTCAGATGGCAATGTTAATTTTTATATTTTCCAAATGAAACATTTTAAATTTGGATCTTTGACACTGTATTTTCATTGACTTCTATACTTGAATCAAAACACGTTTGAAGCAGAACTGAATGAAGTCAGATGAGTGAGATCAAAGTTTGCAGTGGCAGCACTGACTGACAAATTCTTGCTCTTTATCCCATCTGTCAACAGGAAGGATAGATATGGACCAGCATCACTTGACATTGCCCACTATAGGCAGTCATCCTGAGGAAGTGTGGTTGTGAGACCTGCTATGTTCTTAAAGAAAGAATAGGGGCAAGATAGAATATGCCAATAGTTCTTGGTCCCTGTTTGTGAAGTTTACAAAAAATAAACTGGAAGGCAAAATTCCTGAGAGATCAAGAGCTAAGACCACACAGAACCAAAGCTGTTTCTATTTTTCAGGCAGAGTTCTCCCTATCCAAGATGGGAAACTTGTGTAAGATGAGTCTGGAGTGGCTTCCAAGAAGTTAGAGAGAGAAAGAAAGGCACGCTGGCCACATTTTGCTTTTGACTTACTATGTATTTGAAATGTACTATCTGATGGGGGGCAGGGGTGAACATGGTCTGCTTAGGAAAATGTGGGAAAATTACCCAGCTCATTATGGTTACAGCCTGAGTGCAGGTCAATAGAGTCCAGGCATAGTGATGATATTAACTCTATGAAGAGTGCTCAAATCTAATCTAGAGTGAATGGCCAGATTAACTATGAGGAGTTAATCTGAAGTCTGAAGCTAAGTCTGGATGTAGCGAGGGAGGGCTGAGGAGGGGAGAGGAGTTCAAGGATAATAATCACATGTGGCCAAGAAGTCCCTCTGATCAAGCTGCTGAGAGGAGCCCAGAGCAACAGAAAGCTGGGTGGGTTTCCTAGGTGGCACAAGCTGCAGGGGAGATTGATCAGTAGGGAAATGGAACACCTGTGGTCATGAGCGGGAATAGAAGCCTATGGAATGATACATGCTGTGGAACAATGCACTAAGATTTTATTTATTTATTTATTTATCATGTATACAGTGTGTGCCAGAAGAGGGCACCAGATCACACTACAGATGGTTGTGAACCACCATGTGGTTGCTGGAAATTGAACTCAAAACCTCTGGAAGAACAGTCAGTGCTCTTAACCCCTGAGCCATCTCTCCAGCCTCAGGAACGGACATTTTGGAGGCAAAAATGGGTAGACCTTTAAATATGTGAATTAGATCATACAAATTCAGTGTTCACAGTAGGGCTACTCGATGGTGTGAGTGGAGCTGCTAGATGAGGGGCAGGCTTCTAGGGAATGGGTAATATAGCAGTATATCAACAGTGAGTTGATAACAAGAGCTTCTGAAGATACTCGATAGGAGTGGATAGGATCTTCTGAAAGAGAATAGGTAAAAAAGCAACATGGTGCTTGTGCTAAGCCAGGGATCCATTGTGTAAGATTCAGATACATGAAGATAGAATCTAAAAGTATGGAGAAGGATAATAGGCGGGCATGGAGGAGGAAGGCTTATTTCTCAAGGACAGGATAATGAGATGAAGACAAGTCATATGGGCCGTCAAGTCTCCTTTCAACTAAAAATGACAGATATCTGAATGGTGTGGTTCAGGGTTAGGACAGAGCCTGGAGTGGACATGGAATGAGGCAGATGAGAAGAAACAATGCAGACATAATATTCATGGAGAAGAGAGACAGATTGAGAAGGAACACAAGATTCAGGGAGGTCACCTTTAGTTTAGATCTATTCTCTGTCTCTGCTTTTTTTCTTTCTTTTTTGGATTCTCACTTCCTCTGTCTGTCATCTCTCACTTTTGTATGTCTGTTTGTCATCTATCTATCTATCTATCTATCTATCTATCTATCTATCTATCATCTATCTATATACTCACATAGGGGATATCCTTCTGTATATAAGTTTCTGTTATTGGTTGATGAATAAAACATTGATTGGCCCATAGACAGGCATGCAGTACAGGCAGGGCTACCAGATGAGGAGAATTCTGAAGAGAAGACACAGAGAGTGTGCTGC